TGATCCCAGTTTTCTTGGGTACAACATGTATTGGACTCACCCACTTACTATCCGAAATCGGATAGATTATCCCTTCATCTAGTAACTTAAGCACTTCTTTCTTTACCACTTCTTTCATTGTCGGGTTGAGTTTCCTTTACGATTCTCTGACTAGCTTGGCACCATCTTTCAAAAGAATTCTATGCATGCAGATTGAGGGGCTGACCCCTTTTATATCGGCTAAGGTCCAACCAATCGCCATCTTGTGCTCCTTTAGAACCTCGATGAGCCGTGCCTCTTGATCATCAGTCAACCCTTTTGCAATGATCATTGGCAATGTTTCTTTGTCACCCAAGTAGGCATACTTAAGGTGATCTGGCAAGGTCTTCAGCTCTAACTTCGGAGCCTACAAAACAGAAGGCAACAATTTCTTATGAGGAAACGATGATGGAATATTAGAATTTGTTACCTTTTGTTCTACTATCAGTTTCAAAGCTTCACAGGATGAATCTAGCTTTTCCTTCATATCCAATTGTGCACTTAATTCGAGCTCCGCATTCATATCCTCTTCCCCAAACATTTCCTGCATAATTGAGTCAACAATGTCAACTGAACAAATCGAATGACATTCATTGGGGTACTTCATTGCTTCGAAAATATTAAATTTAACAATCTCACTGTCAAACTCGATGGAAAAGGTATCCTCATCCACATCTATTTTGGTTTTGTCTGTTTTCATAAATGGCCTGCCTAATAGAAGTGAGGTTGAACTTGTGATAGTATCTTCCTCCATCTTCAAGATGTAAAAGTCGGCTGGAAATATAAGGTCATTAACCTGCACCAAAACATCTTCAACAATCCCTTCAGGGTAAGCGTTAGAACGGTCAGCTGACTGAATGACAACCCTAGTTTCTTTCAATGGACCTAAACTCAAAGCACAATAAATTGAGTATGGCATGACATTAATGGATGCACCTAAATCTAGCATGGCACGCTCAATTCTTTTGTTGCCAATCACGCAAGGTAAGGTAAACATACCTAGATCAACACGTTTTTCCGGCAGGGTCCTCTTGATGACAGCTGACACGTTCTCCCCATCCTTTACCTTCTCATCTCTCCTTAGCTTCCTTTTGTTAGTGCACAACTCCTTCAAAAATTTTGCATATTTGGGGATTTGCTTGATGGCATCTTACAAAAGATTTCTTGCTCGTACTCTTCTTTATTAAATTTTTCCAACCTACTAGGAAATGGTGGCACAATGGCATTAGACATCTTAGGTAGAGGGGGGTCGGGTTTTACCTTATGGGAGTTCTCATGTGATACTTGTTCCTCCTCTTCTTTCTGATCTTTATCCTCTTTCCTTGGTGAAGTAGGCTGTGACTATAATTCCTTCCCACTTCTCAGCACCACTGCACCCGCATTCTCCTTGGGATTGAGTATCGTCTGTGATGGTAGCTTTCCAGAATTCTGCGCCTCCAACTTGCTAATGGAAGTAGCAAGTTGACTGATTTGGTTCCCTAAGTTCTGGATGCTGGCCCTTGTTTCCTGTTGGAATTGTTGAGTGTTAGTCGCTAGAGCCTTAACGATCTCATCTAAAGACATACCTAAACTTGAGGGTTGATTTTGAGCTTGGGTATGTGCTGGAATTAGAGGTTGTCTGTTGAAAGCTTGGGGCTAGAATCTCTGTGGTCCTCCTTGATTTCTGTAGCTCAGATTGGGATGATCCCTCCACCCAGGATTGTAATAGTTGGAATAAGGATCATACTTGCATTGAGATTGGCCTAAAAATCCACCTACGACACTGACTTGCTGCATCAAACCATCTTGTAAAGATGGGCACATATCCGTATGATGCCCAGGAATCGAGCATATGCCACAAACCCTTGCCGTTTGTAATTTCCCTACAGCCAATTGACGAACCAAGGCAGTTAGATCAGATATTTGACTTTCCAAATTAGAATGGCTTACCTCATTAACTCGTCTGATAGCACCATCTGTTCTTGCTCCAAATTGTTGAGAGTTCTCAGCCATGTTGGAGATCAATTGCCAAGCCGCTTCGGGTGTTTTATTGACCAAGGCTCCTCCACTAGCTGCATCTACCATACTTCTATCCATAGGTTGAAATCCTTCATAGAAGTATTGGATTAATAGCTGTTCAGGTATTTGGTGGTGTGGGCAGCAAGCACGGAGTTGTTTAAACCTTTCCCAATACTCGTATAGTGTCTCACCACTAAACTGCCGAACCCCACAAATCTCCTTCCTAATATTTGTGGCTCGTGATGCAGGGAAATATTTATCTAAAAACATCCTATTCATTTCATCCCATGTACATATTGAACCAGGAGGAAGAATGTATAACCAGTCCTTTGCTTTGTCTCGTAAAGTAAAAGGAAAAGCTATAAGTTTTACCTAATCCTCAGTCATACCCTGTGGTATCATGCTCGAACAGACGACATGGAAATCCTTAAGATGTTTATGAGGGTCATCACCTGGAAAGCCATGAAAAGTAGGAAGCAATTGAATCAAACTCGATTTAAGTTCAAAAGCTACCTCGAGAGTGGGATAGATTATGCATAAAGGCTACTGATTCATGATTGGCGCAGCTAACTCTCTTAGCGTTCTTTCTCTATCAGCCATCCTTTCTTCATCTTCGAAAGTGGGTCGATCACAAGTTGTCAAATCAATATCAGAATTCACCCTTGGAGGTGAACGATCCTTCCTTTGTTTCGCCTCCTTTCTCAATCGACGGGTGGTCTCCTCAATTTCAGGGTTGTATTCTAGTTCACCTTGGTGAGAAGCACGAGTCATAAAACAAAGGAGGTTAACACAAACAAAAGGTACAAAGCTAAGAAATTAAAGTAGCTCCCCAGCAATGGCGCCAAAATTCTTACGGGTTGTTGAAGCCCTCAAAATTAATTCTAGTCCCACCATACTATAAACTTGTAGTAACTGTGGTACCAGGTCGAATCCCACACGGAGCTAGTAATTAATTTCTCAGCCGAATGCGCAATATAAAGAGTGGGCAATTTGAATAATTTAAAATTCTAAAATAAAAAAAGAGCAATTAACAACTAACAAGGAAAATTCAGTCTTACCGAATTCTGATCCAAGGGTTCGGATTAAGTCAATTGGTCATCAATCATAGGTAAACTTCAGTAGTCTTGCAATTCAAGTATTTAACCTTAAGATTTATTAGGATAGCCATAA